CCTCGCCCGGGCCGAGTCACCCACCGCCACCGCCCGGACGGCACAAAGCGGCCAGAAATAACGACCTGGCGGCTGGGGCAGATCTCGGCCTTTATTTTCCAAAGCGCTTCTCCAAGAGGCAGCAGCAGAAGAAGAAACAGCTCAGGCTCTGGGGCGGTACACCCAGCCAAAACAAGAGGGGAAATGGCAAAAAACACATGGGAAAGAACAAGAGAGGTTTGGAACAGAAAGAACTAAACACTGTCAGTACTTACATAGCACAAGCAGTAATTGGGCAATACTGTAGATGGCTATGAGACTCTCAAAGGCAAAACTGCTCCAACAGCTCTACTAGCAAAGAAGCAGCCTTCTGAAAAAAAAAATAAATACAAGGAAGACTTTTTTGGTATTTTTCCTTTTTATATCCACAATGTAACATCATCTGCTATAGCATAATCCCTGCCATTGCCCTTGAAGATCAAGGTCTGCGTCCTCAGGAAGGCTGCAGTAACTAGTCAGAGGAGTCAGCACACAGTCCTGTAACCAGGTGCAAGTTTCCGTAACAGTCTGTGGTTCTAACCAGACTTGAAAAGAAGAATAGCGACTTGGCCGAGGTAGAAGTAGATGAAGTGCTTGGTCTCATGAGTCACGTAGCTGCCAAAGTTCCTTCCCACGATGCAGTGCCAAGTGGGATTGTATTTCTTGTCAAACTCCTGCAAAACAGATCACTAGAAATTAAGAACTCTTCTAAACAGGTATTTGCTTTCTGAACAAGGCGATTAGAGGAAGAGCAGATGCTCTTAAGTACTAGGATTATTACATCTTATAGTTCACCTGCTGCTTAGTCAGAAAAAAAAAAAATCCACAAAAAAAAAGCCATGGTGCTTCCTATCTGAGCAGTAGTAACTTTAAAACATTACCTTTGTTCAGGGAAAGTAAGTCTTTCTCCCCCTATTAATTCATACCATGATTTGAAACTATAGCCCTCGAGTAAAACCTTCACCACTAGTTTTACACCCAGAGATTAAGCTGTAATTTAGACTTCATTGTTCATCTGCAACATGGGTGCTAAAGGGACTCAGTGGAAAATTCTCTGCCACATGCTCTGGGACACCAGTACTATCAACAAATCTAAGAATTTGCATTTTACATGTTTCAAACAAATCCTCTACAAATTCCCAGTAGTTGCTACAAAGAATACCGGGAAAATATTAGACTAAACTCCCTCTTTTCCACTGTCATAGGTACTTCCTGCATCTGGGGAAAAAATGCCTTTCTGTATTGCGGGCATAGCAAACCACTATTTCTCTAGTGGAAGCAATCATTCTGCTTAGTTGAATTACTTTTTAAACAGCTCTTCCACTCAGATCAGTTTAACTTCCATTGACACTCTTTGATTTCTCCATTCTCCTGAGTTGACGAAGCAGGAAATATAATCAGAACTAGATCTTTCCCATGTTCAGTATTGTTAATCCTACATAAAGGACGACACAGACGTTGCAAACAACAGATAATCAGTGCCACCAGGATTTTTTTGTTTGGTTTTTTTTTCTTTTTTGCTTATGTCACTACATAAGGAGAGATGATTACAGTAGACCTGCAGAAAACTACCTTTCCCTGCAATTTTTGACCCAACTGGACAGAACTGTGAACAGATCCTTAAGATTAAGTTCAGTAAAATTGAAACCAAGAACTATGTAGAACAGGCTTTCTCTCAGAAGAAAACCGTAGGAGAGTTCAACAGAGCCCCTGTGTTTTGTACCAGCTCCTCAGTCACAGGGACAGTCAGCTGCCAGACAGTCTCTGTTCACCTGGACAACGGCAGAAAAGGCTGAAGTAGAAGGTACTGCAAGAGGAAAGCAGAAGGACCTGGGAAAGTCCACGCAAAGGGTGGGGAAAGGAACATAAGGACACCAGCCTACAGAAAAAGTCCAGCTTGATTATCTAGTGTCTCCAGAACTTGTTTCTCTAGAGCTACTTGCCCAGCAGCATTCTCCCTGCTTGATTTTTCATGTGCATAGAGATCTGGTGAGGACAGCGCAAGCAAACATTTACCTTCTTTATGTGAGCAGCAATGTCCTTCTCGATGTTGTATTTCTCTAAGGCCTGAGTAGCACACTCTACAGCATCTTGCTGCATCTCTTCAGACATGTCCGCATTCTTGATCACTGCCTTTCGATCACTCATGGTTGTCTGTATTGAGCAAAGAAGAAGAGAATTCAAAGTCGCAGGAGCAGCCACCTGCGGGAATCACCCCCCAAGCAGTCACACAGGTACC